CCCCTGTTTAACTACGACTACCTGCGCTGAGCTTGCCAGAAAGGCTCTTTAGTGTTGTCTCATAAAGGTGTGAAAAAAGAAAAGAAATACTTTACAAAAAGAACTATTTATTATTACTAAGTTATTTTTATTTACTTAAGTGTAAAACCATATAAATATTTATCTACAGAAATTGAACTCTTCTTGCCTTCATGTTTGCGAAATCTGCTATCAATTTTCTTGTATCCAAGCTGTCTAAGATATCATGTTCAATTGAAAATATAGCTATAAACTAAATTACTTAGTCTTTGCTGGTGCATTGTTGATCTTAAATAAATTAATTAATTAAATAGTTTTTTATAATTTTTAACTTTGAAAAGGACCTTTCACCAAATGCAACTGAAACCGGCAATGTAAGTAATATTCTTAGTGCTATTGCTGTGTTCGGAAATGTTGAAATTAAGTCATTAGTAAAAAGATATTGTAATAAGGTTTGTGGATCATTGACTGGTTTTCTGGAAAATGCAACTTTAAAGTATTGATTTCATTAAATAAATCAATACCGTCAATGTCCGTTTCACTACTTGAATCGTCTTTAAGCTTCAGATTTAAATCCTAACCAAATTAAAATATCATTAATTATACTTAGACCCATGTCAGAAGAATTATTAACAAAATAATTGCAATTTGATATGCAATAGAACTGTTCAAATGCGTACAAGTACAAATTGAGAAGGAAGGTCTGTGGGGATTCCCTAATTTCGTCAGTCCTGTCAACTTCTGTAATAGAGCACGACTATGAGTACTTGACTTTCGGGCGCCGCCGGATGGTTCAACCTGCCAACAGACAATTCACATTGCATCTTAATTCTGATAAATGCCAATAGAGGCACTGTTAACGCTATAATATAGGCTAAATAAGAATATAGTAATTGCGCTCCGGTCGGATTTTTTTTCTCCTTGCGAAGACATTTCTTATGCTATAAGTAAGGTGGGTATTGTGACAATGACTGAATATTACATGACCGATTGCTCGATTTGCCGCCCCCTGGACGTGCCGTCCGCGTGCGATGCACGCCTTGCACGTCCGCTTACGGTGGGCCTGTATATATTGATATATACAAAAATTGTTGTATATATATATATATATATATATATTGTATATATATATATATATTGTGTATATATATATATATAACAATAATTTTGTAGATAACACCTTACATGCAGCCATCATGTTAAAAAAAAAAAAAGACTGAGAGATCACAAGATCTTTGTCTACATCAAGTGATCTCTACTTAATCACTTGCAATCTCTAACTCGCAATATTGCAATCTGCAAACATCCTAATTCGCAATATTGCGAAATTTATACTGATCCCAGTGGCTAAATCTAAGTGGTAAATCTGAGTGGCAGGAGAGGGTTTCAATTAGTGATGCCACAAATATTTGCCTACTATTCAGTATTCAGCCTATTCGGCTACTTCTTTTAATATTCAGTATTCAGCCAATTGCTGCATACTATTCGGCCAAATACCGAATACCAAATCATGAAAAAAAAAAAAAAAACGCACACACACACACATATTACTCAAAAATGTATTTATTTTAATCACAAATTATTACATTTAATACTTAAAATCTATCAGTGGTAAGTTGTGATGAATGAAAACAATTTTTTCAGCATTTGTTGATAGAAAACGATTGTGCTTTTCCTCATAAACTTTACCTGCTTCTGAAAATAGCCTCTCACTATACACTATACTACTGCCGGGAGACGATAGATAAATCTTAGCGAATTCTGTCAGGCTTGGGTACTGTTTTGTGTTTGCTGACCACCACTTGTAAAGGTCCGTCGTCCAATCTAGGCAAACAGTTTTCATATAAAAATCAATCTCATTTGCAATAACACTTTTCTTCTCCACATCCTCATCATTTTGCATATTTTTTGTAGTGCCTTCCTCAAAACAGTTCCAGAAACTGTTGTGTATTTCAATGGTTTTATCATTTTCATTGATATTTATTTTCTTATGAAGTGGAGAAGAATCATCATCAGTACTAGGAGACTCATCACAACTAATTTTCAGAGCTTCTAAAAGAATTTTTTGTTTTGCTCTTTGCATTTGGACTAATCCCAGGAAACTGGTTTTGAAATGCAGGTCAAGAAAAGTGGCAACCAGATATTTGTCATCCTCATCAAAGTTGAACTGTGTTTCAAGCTCAACTTGTAGTGACAATCTCATTCTCAAAAAATTTGGTGTTCTATCTGCAGTCTCTTCCTTTCCCAGATATTTCAACAATGTGACAACCTGTGGAATCACTTCAGAGATGCAGCTTGTTGCAGTGAATGAATAAAACAGAGGCAGAATCATATTCTACGTCTCGTACACCTTTTATCATATTGGCTCCACTGTCGTGGACAAGCAAATGGATCTTGCTATGAGGAATATTCCATCTTTCTGCAATAGCATTGAGTTCTTTTGCAATATTGGTACCAGTATGCGAGCCAGAAAACGGCTTCATTGCTAAAATGCCATGTTCAAGAATAAACTCTGGAGATATTCAATGTGCAGTGAAACTCAAGAAACTCTGGTTATTGTGCTGACATGTCCACATATCAGATGTCACTGATACTGCTGTTGCTTGCGAAATACTAGATTCAATTTTATAGCAAATTCTATTATATATATCAGGAATAATTTTCTCAGTCATGTAAGTGCGACCAAGTATTTTGTCTCTGCTTCTAACACAATAAAGTGCTATAAATTAAGACACTTGGTGGTTTTTCTCATCTTTATTTAGTTGAGACGTGTGAAAAAAAACAGGTATTTTGTATTGAGGTACTGCCTTTTCCATAAGCCTTTTAAAGCTGACTCATTCAACAAGTGATAATGGTTTGTTGTCTAAGGCAATCGTTTAACCAATTAAATAATGATATTTTATTGATTTCGGATCATTAATATCCCATAACAATTTCCTTTCAGTTGTTTCCTTCAGAGTTAATTGTTTCTTTCCGGATGTACCTGGTACTGCCAGTATCTTGGAATCGGTAGAAGTAAGAGTACCATCATTTTTGCTGCCACTTGCCAAGGAAGCAACAGTTAACATAGCGTACTGCTTGGCATGTTTGCTTTTAAGGTGGTTTTTCAAAGAAGTTGTAGCTGTAAACAAAAAAAACGAACACAATAATTAAACAATGAAAAATCTGACATCAAAGAAGGAAATTCCCTGAACAGTACTTGTATTATTCTGGCTTCACTTAAGCCTCTGAATTTCAAAGATAATAAATAAAATGTACAGTAGACCTTCCCTATAATGTGGGTTCATATAATGCAGATTCCTATATCACAGCGAAAAAATTGCAACCGTATTCATATAAAGACACTAAAAGAGACTCGTAAAATGCGGTAAAACGTCATCGCCGACTCATGTCGCGACAGGATTGGTCAAATCTGGACCAATAGTGAACAAGCAGCCGAACTACTTACACGCTACAGAGAGTTTAGGCAGGTAAGTTGAGTTTACTATCGTCTGTACAGTATGTAAATTAGGTAGTGTAAGTCTAATACAGTACTGTAATTTTATACATTTCTTGTGAAAAAAACATTTCTTATTCAACGGCCATAAAAATTATTTCTATTAATGATGTCTCCAAAATTCAATAAATTTTTCACAGAAAAATAACTNAAATTAGGTACTGTAAGTCTAATACAGTACTGTAATTTTATACATTTCTTGTGAAAAAAACATTTCTTATTCAACGGCCATAAAAATTATTTCTATTAATGATGTCTCCAAAATTCAATAAATTTTTCACAGAAAAATAACTTATCAGAAAACGCACCCACCATTTGGTGTGCTGCTCCGCTATGAAAACAAGCTTAAGCAATGGCGTTGTCGAATGGTGCACACTTGGTAAGTAATCCTACAATTTTTTGTTTATAGCATAGTTTATACGGATTATTCCCAAAATATTATATGTGTTTTGGAAATGTTGAGTCAAATTAGTCTAGAATCGATTAATTTTATGGGAAAAAACCTTTCAAACAGCCGTAGTCTGTAAACTGCATACGTGCCGGGCTGTGATTGGCTCATNAGTTTATATGGATTATTCCCAAAATATTATATGTGTTTTGGAAATGTTGAGTCAAATTAGTCTAGAATCGATTAATTTTATGGGAAAAAACCTTTCAAACAGCCGTAGTCTGTAAACTGCATACGTGCCGGGCTGTGATTGGCTCATGTATTTAAGGATTCATACAACGCGAAATTCTTATAAAGTGGAACATATCTACTGCGTTATAGGGGGTTGACTGTATATTTAAAAATAGGACTTATTTATATCAAGTTTATCAACGAAATACTGTAAGGAACCAAGTCCGAACATTATTTTTATTTACTTTTATTTTGCTTATTATTCTATTTTTGTTTGGGGCTTATGTTTTGTTAGGACGAAGGTTTCCTCACCATTCACCTTAGTAACTTAAAAATAGAAGAAAAACCAACTCACCGACGAAAGAAAAGCGCCGTAGAAAAACTCGCGCACACTTGCGCTTCCCAAGCGGAAAAAAGTAAGTCCGCACCGAGAAAAAGGGGGGGAAGACCCCACAACCCAGTTAGGAATCGCTAAACCTTAAAAGAATAAAGCATCCCGATAATTGTTAAAAAGAATAATGTAAAAGGTTAGCGAAGTATTGTCGGAAAATAATCTGCCAGATAAACAAGAAAAATTTAATGTTACAGATAAGTATGTAAATGAGGAGAGTGAGCTCATTCAGAATTGTGACGTCACCTCACACTATAAAGCCTCTAACTCAAGTGAAAACGAACGAGGTGAATTCCTGATAGCAACGAGCTTTGGTGAGCTTCGTAGCAGTGAACGAGAGAGGTGTCCGATAGGATTTTGAAGTTATTCGATTTGTGGATCGACGATTATAGAAAGTCTTGAGAGTTTGAGGAAATAGGTTCCTAGTATATTGAGGTGACGATTAGGATCTTTAATTTATAAGAATTATTGTTTATAAGTTAATTCTTTGATTTTGTCGAATTCCAAAGGGGAATAGAATTAAGTTAGAAATAGATTGATTTGAGTTTGTCGGATTGATTCTTGTTGAATTTCATTGAATAAATTATTGTTTGATTTTTACTAAATACTGTATAGAGTTTATTAATAGAAGTTTAATTAAATATTTGATTTTGTTATTGACAAACTTTGTCATTATTTAATTCGGTGCACGCTTAAAGTCCAGGCCTGGCACACTAACGCGAATCCGCGTAAAGTACCCGTTAGGGAACGGCTATTTCCGGCACGCAGTAGTGTCGATAATCGTTGGAAAAGTCGGAAAAATAATATAGTACTTTACAACACTACATGTGATTTAAAGTACTGGGCAAAAAAAACAAGAAATAAAAAATTACAAACGCTAAATACTAAATATAACTAAAATTGTTTCACTTAATTAATACGTAATAACATTTTACTTACTTGCTTTCTTTCCTTCTCCACCACGCGAGATCTTGTTGTTACACAGCAAACACACAGCAAGTTTATTATCTTCACTACAAATCTCATAATATTTCCAAATAGGCAATTTTTTATTAAATGGTGCCATTTTGTAAAGCTTTTGGCAAATAAACAGTGATATTTTTTAGTAATAAGGACTATTAGTAACACAACTTGATGTAACAATGAACAAATAACACGTGTTGTGACATGATCTACTTGCAAATGAAACAAATGCACCTGCAGCATCGTTTCCGCACTCACCACAATGAGACAGGTTGTAACATGTCACCTGCGACAAATACTTTGCCGAATATTCGGCACTAGGCTGAGAGCGTAGCCAAATATTCGGTATTCGGCAAAATCACTATTCGTGGCATCTCTAGTTTCAATCTAACAATGGAGCTGGAGCTAGATATGTAGACTTAATTCGATAATAAACTATTTATTTATATTAAAACTGTTATGTATGATATATATATATATATTATCCTATCTATACTATTAGCCCCTTATTTCCTAATTTCATTATTTTTTTATTTAATTAAACGTAATCAAATGCAAAATATGCTTAAAACTGAAAAAACTAAATAAATGCATTAATTCTGAAGTTAAAACTCTGAAGTTTATTGTCCTTTGTCTTGCCTTTCCGCAAAATCTGACACCATTGTCTCAGCTTGTTCACAACTGGATAACGCTGAGAACAGCTGGTACTGTATTTCCTGGGACGTTTACATGTATGCCTGAGGAGATGACAGGTCATTTACATATGTGCCTGAGGAGATGTAGGGTGAATACTAGCTGGCCGTAAATTTCTAAATATTTTACAAAATTTCTGATTTTAATTGCGATTTCCATCTCCCTGACTTAATTAAATGTATATATAATAAAATCTATTAATTGAAAAAATTAAANACTAAATATGACAAATTGTTTCACTTAATTAATACGTAATAAGATTTTACTTACTTGCTTTCTTTCCTTCTCCACCACGCGAGATCTTGTTGTTACACAGCAAACACACAGCAAGTTTATTATCTTCACTACAAATCTCATAATATTTCCAAATAGGCAATTTTTTATTAAATGGTGCCATTTTGTAAAGCTTTTGGCAAATAAACAGTGATATTTTTTAGTAATAAGGACTATTAGTAACACAACTTGATGTAACAATGAACAAATAACACGTGTTGTGACATGATCTACTTGCAAATGAAACAAATGCACCTGCAGCATCGTTTCCGCACTCACCACAATGAGACAGGTTGTAACATGTCACCTGCGACAAATACTTTGCCGAATATTCGGCACTAGGCTGAGAGCGTAGCCAAATATTCGGTATTCGGCAAAATCACTATTCGTGGCATCTCTAGTTTCAATCTAACAATGGAGCTGGAGCTAGATATGTAGACTTAATTCGATAATAAA